CCACCGGCCAGGCGCCGGGAGCGGCCGAAATGGTCACCCTGCGAGCGGGAACTTGTCGTGTATCCCCGTGGACACAAGTTATGGGGAGGAAGGCTTTATGCTCCGTTCGGGGGGTGAGAATCCGCGACTGGACCGGAGTGACCGCACTGCCTGAGTCCAGGATGGCCCGGAACGGCTTTCCAGCTGGCGGATGCTAACCTCGGTGATCCGCTGGAGGATTTCCTCCATGGTGGGGGAGGAGCACTCGCCTGTGACAGAACCCGGAGACAAAAAACAAGGAAAAAAAGGTGAGGTGAAGATCGCTTGTCGGTGATTCTTCACTGATTCGCCTGCATTCTCCACCAGTGTAACGGGGTGAAGAATCACACGACAAGTAATCTCAATCAATACCCCGGAGGGTGGATTTATTGGTGTGGTGGGTGCGAGGGAGGAAGGTCCAGGTAGGTGCTCCGGTGCCATGAGTGCTCTCTTCCGTCTTCCCAGTGCAGAGGGTCCGTGCAGTGCTCCTGTGGGGCTGGTCGGTCACACGCTGCTGTCTGTGGGAAAAATGAGAGGGCGAGTTAGTGCTCAGTCTCATGGAGAAATCTCCCAGATGGCAGGGCTTGCGTGGCTTATGTGGCCGCCTCCTGATGAGCTGCAGCTGTGACCGATCAGCCTGTGATGAGGACGGCCAGGTGTGCCTTGCTTGTTTCCAGGGCGACGCTGATGAAGCTGCGGGACACTCGTCACAATATATTCTACTGTAGTAAACAGCTCTCTAGCCAAAGGTTTTGTTCCAGCTAGTTTTAAACATACAATTGTGCAACCTCTGCTGAAAAAAAACTCAACTTGATCCTGCAGCACAAAGTAAACTGCCCTTTATTTCAAAGCTTCTGGAAACAGTATTTTTGTCTTTTTTTGAATTCTTTTAACATATTGGTCATTTCAATCTGGTTTTAGATCCCTACATAGCCCTGAGTCAGCTCTGTTAAAGGTCACAATTAATATTTTGCTTGCTCTGGATATTCTTCACTAATGTCATATAGTAGGTATCTAGGGCACTGCACAGGATTTGCTTCTTACCTTGAGAACAGCACCTTTTCTGTAAATTTGTTTAATTTTTTATTCATCATCTGCTCTGTTATTGTGTGGCGTGCCCCAGGGATCCGTTTTGGGACCTTTTTTATTCCCCTTTATAAGCTTCCTTTTTGACTACATTCTTCAGGAATATAATATTGTTCATCACTGTTATGCAAACGATTCCCACGTTTACCTTCCAGTAAGGCCTGACACTACATTTTCATTTAATGTCTTGTTAAAGCGCATTAAAGATATTTAGAGTTGGATGGTGAATCATTTTTGGCAGCTAAATGAAGATAAAACAAATGTTTGATCTTATGTTGTCCCATGTCTTCTTTCCCTGTCCTAAAAGCCCAGTTAGGTCCACTCTAAACCAATTTACAAAAACCTTAGCAGCTGTGGTGGAAGGCGGGATTTTTAGTTCTACACACAGAGACTTCTTCACACAACATCTCCTTTTGTGTTTTGTCTTCTTGTGTCACAGAAGAACAAAGCTCATATGGGTGACATACAAAGCTCAAATCACGACAGGATGTTTATTTTGACTATCTGTGTTTGAGGGTGGATTTTAGTGCCCAAACAGTTTTGCTGACTACATTCTGTGGTTTGTTTACCTGTCATGCTACACTCCACCTCACAGCTCAGGGTCAGGTGAGTTTGCTTTCCATCTCATTGGTGGCCCAGTTTTTTCCCCCTTCTCTGCTCCTCAACCCTGAAAGGTTGGGTTTCTCCATAAGAAACTCAGTGACTCCTTCCGCATATGTATGGATTGGAGTCATTTAAAAGTGGAAACTTGTCTTCAAAAGGATTCATAGTTCATATATGTAATATGTAATGTTTCAGTGCTGAATGCTGCTTCATTTACAAGAATTAGTTTTAAATGTCAGTAATGATTTAGCATCTTTAATGCAGCTTTGCTTTGAAATGAATTTAAAAAGCATACTAAACATTTTTTTTACTCTGATGGTATACGCTGACTGAAGCCTTTGCCAAATAAAATGTAAAGGATTTTCTGTGCAGGAAATGAGAGAAGCAATATAGTTGCATGTATTTGACACGAGCAGAACTGAAGACTGAAATAGAGCAGGACTGGCATGACTGATGACAAACACTGAGCAGCATTATTCCTGTGGTTTGGTGAAAATGTTCAGGACTAAAGGCTGCTTGAGTTTTTTCCATTATGTAAAATGCTTTGGCAGCAGTCTGTGCTCTTTCACAATGTCAAGAAAACAGAAGGAGTGAAGTGTTCTGTTACCATCTTGGGTCAAAGAAAATAAGTTACATAGGTCAAATTTTCTGTAATTTATTTCTCTGTCCTGGGGCAGTAAATCAAAAGCTTCTTAGCTCATATGAATACATAAACTACTCAAATGCTCAGGCATGAAAAGGTTGAGTCTCAAAAGCTTTAGTAACACAATCATTAAGGATGTTTTGAAACCTAATTGCTGCTGAATTGGGAGAATCAGTTTTGGGCTTGTGTGGATGTCAGCAGCACAGCACATATGGGGTGGATATTATAAGACATCTATAAGAATATAAACTCAATTATTTACAAAATTCACCAAATCTACAACACTGACACATTCAGACTTTAACATTGTTTACATTAGTTAAATTTGACAGAACACTGTTGGAAAATAAACTATGATTCCACCAAACAACACAAGATGAAGACTTTCAGAGGTTTTGCACATGCCACTTTTTGCTAAATTTAACAATACTAGAATGCAAACAGACTCCCAAACCAAGACAAAGCATTGGAAAAAGTTACTCAGAGTAACACTAGTTGAGAGCTAGATGAAGAATCTGCGAGATCTGAGTGGAAATACAAGATCGGATAGTGTTACATCCGCCTGAAGCCTGTTCAAGACTCCCACAAAAACTAACAGCCACATTTCTTCTGATTTCTGAGGATCGTGTGATGTGACAGTTTGTCAAGTAACACTTCAGCATAGAGTGAGACTTATAAATAATACGTCTGCAGCTAATTTAGATCATTTAGATGTAGTGCAAACAATATATATGCATGCATTTTTGACTGCACATTTTATTTCATTTTAATACAGCTTAAGACATGTTACCTACTCTGTTCATTAATGTTAGTTTACGTACTTCATTGTTCTCAGTATTTGAGTTGTAAGATGAAAGCAGACACTGACGCTGTTCTCCAAACCTCCACAACACACAAAGGTAAAGACTTGTGAAGATTTCTTTAAGTAAAGACATTTACAAGAATTAGTTTTAAATGTCAGTAATGATTTAGCATCTTTAATGCAGCTTTGTTTTGAAATGAATTTAAAAAGCATACTAAAAATTTGGACTTGACTTAATGCATTGTTATGCAGATATATTTTATATCATATTTTTTATTCTCCCCCCCCCTATTTATTACAGTTATGAAGCATGATCTGAATAACAACTTACTCCAAAATAAATAGAATTAAGCTTGTAAATGAGAAAAAGTTTTAGCTGTTACTTTATAATAAGGCATTTTAGATATGTAATATTTTAATTATCTGCCTATTACAAAAGCAGCATAAGTATCAACAGATCTGTTTTGTAAAAACAGCAGAAATAAAGCTCCAGTCACTGACCTCTGCGTTCTGTCTGTCAGACTGACACTCCTCGTCTGTTGGAGTCTCTCCTTCTGCAGATCAGCAGCAGACGCCTGCCTCTTATACTGCTCTGTGTGTGTGTGTGTGTGTGTGTG